GCTCCGTGGTGCTTGAGGAAGGCGTGTCGGAGAGGCTGGTCCGGGACGTGAAGGAGTTCATCGACAACCCCAAGTGGTACAGCGAGAGAGGCAAGGCTCTGGTGCAGCAGGTGCCCTCTGTGCCCAGCTCCTTTCAGCCCTGCAGCCGCGGCTGTGGGCTAGCACCTCGGGCACATCCCGGGCGCTGAGGTCAGCCCGGGCTGCAGAGTGACGGGCTCCCCTCGGCTCGATCTGGTCCTGGAAACTGCGATGAGGCACTGCCTTGTTGCTTCTGCAATGCTGCTGTGGGCTGGGCTGGGGTGGGATGCCTGAGGTCCTCTCTGGAGATGGCTGCAGGGAGGTTTTTCCCTGCTGCCTTCCACTGCTGTATCCTCTGTGCATGCTCAGCCCCTCAGCTCTGGCGGGGAGAGCTCGGAGCAACCCAGCAGGCTTCTCAAAGGATGCTGTCTTCCTAGGTATCCCCTACCGAAGAGGCTACCTGCTCTATGGTCCTCCTGGCTGTGGGAAAAGCAGCTTCATGTGAGTATTGCCAGCCGGCTAATGCAGTCCTCCTGCCAGCTGCCTGCCCTGGGGCAGGGGTCTGAGGGGTGAGAGGGCGCGGTGGAGTTTGTGTTCCAAACGTAGGGGTGGGCTGTGCCTTCTGCTCGGCGCCTGATGCCTTTGTGTCGGGTTGGGGCGATGAGCCCTCGGCGCCCTCGCTTTGTGTAATGCTGTGTGGCACCTACGGGCTGAGCAGGGGATCCCGCCTGCTCCCCAACCCCAACGGGAGGAGGAAGCCTGTGCCCTGCTGCAGGCAGGTTCTTCCTCTGCTCCGGACTTTTCTCCTGTGCCTCACCCTGGTGGTTTGTGTCCTCCCCAGCACAGCACTGGCCGGGGAGCTGCAGTACAGCATCTGCCTGCTCAGCCTCAGCGACCGCAGCCTCTCTGACGACCGGCTCAATCACCTCCTGAGCGTGGCCCCGCAGCAGAGCATCATCCTGCTGGAGGACGTGGACGCTGCCTTCCTCAGCCGGGACCTCGCTGCCGAGAGTGAGCGGTGCCGCCGCGCCGGGCTGGCAGCGGGGGGAGGTTTGCCCGTTCTGCTGGGGACAGGTTCGGGTGCTGGGCTGCACCAGCAGAGCCCCTGGGAGTGGGCAGCTCTCTGGGGCCTCAGGGCCCAAGCTGGACCTCACCCAGACTTAGCTAGGCTATATAAAGAGAAATTTGGGGGTTTTATCCTCATGAAGATGCTTTTCCTGCCCAGCTCCTTTCAGTATGAGGGAGGAGGTGGCTCTCCCCCTCATTCTTTTTGGGTTCCCAAGGGTGTGGGTGGGCAGGGAAGGTGAATGCACTGCCAGCCAGGGAGAGGCAGAAAGTCAGCCTCAGGGCAAGGAGAGAGTGGGGAGCTTGGCTTAAGCCTCAGGGGACAGGGATGTGGCCTGCAAGACTGCGTGGAGTTAGTGGCCAGTGGATGTGATCTCAGACACCTCTGTCCCCAGACCCAGCTGTGTACCAGGGCATGGGGCACCTGACCTTCAGCGGCCTCCTCAATGCACTGGATGGCGTGGCCTCGTCAGAGGCTAGGATTGTCTTCATGACCACCAACTACGTGGACAGGTCAGAGCTGCTCCCTCTTGATGGGCTTTATGGAGAGCTACTTGCATCCTCCAGCATGAAGATCAGGGGTTTAGCTTTTCCAAACCTTTCCTTGGGATGCAAATCCCTCGATTGCTAATCAGGATCCCTTTTGCTGGAGCCTCAGATGCTTCTTAGCTGTTCAGACCATGGTCATGCCTTTCAGGAGCAGTACCAGCTTCCTGCCCATGGGCATTGGCAGGTTTTGGGGCTGTGGCTGTGCCGAGTGCAGCGCTGGAAAGGCATCCCCCCACAGCCACTGGTGGTGAACTGGGGAGCACGATCACGGTGCCCAGGCAGATGCTGCCCTGCACCAGGTTTGGCTCACTCCAGATCAGACAGGTCTAGAGGGTCGTTCAGTGGTTGTTAGTGGAACGTGTCTCCCAGGATACACTTGTCCTTCTCTGGAGTCAGCCCCTTCCCAGCTCTCATGCTTCTTTTGGGCTGGTTTCCCCTCTCAGCCCCCCAAGGACAAACCTCTTCCCCACCTTTGCCATCTCACAGTGCAGAGCACCTTGTGGACAGGACGCTGGCTGCGCTAGCATGGAGGGGGGCTCCCTGCAGGGCCCACCTGCAGAAACACCGGGGGGGTCAAGGCAGGGCCCTGTCTCTAATCGGCAGGCTGGACCCGGCCCTGGTGCGCCCCGGCCGCGTGGATCTGAAGCAGTACGTGGGCCACTGCTCCCGCTGGCAGCTTGCCCGCATGTTCCAGCGCTTCTACCCCGAGCAGCCCGCGGCTGCGGCCGAGCGCTTTGCCGAGCAGGCGCTGGGGGTCTCCCAGCAGATCAGCGCTGCCCAGGTGCAGGGACACTTCATGCTCTACAAGACGGACCCCGAAGGAGCCATTTCAAACGTGCGCTCCATCCTGCTGTGACCCGGGCTGCCCTTCCGCCCGCCACGCTGGGAGGATGGGACAAGGACGTGGCCGTCCCGGGGATGCTGTGGAGCTGCCCGGCCACACCTCTGTTCACCTCTACCCCGCCAAGGCCTAGGCTTTTTATTAAACTGCATGGAGAGTCAGAGCTGCCAGCCTTCAGCAGGGAGAGGGGATCGGCCCTTGCTGTGCCCCAGATTTGGATGGTGCCTCTCACCAGCGTGTGCCTCGTGCTGGGATTGCTGTAAGCTGCCGAGGCTCCTGGCTGTGGATCCCCTTCCTTGCAGGGCAGCTGGGGGGGTGCCCCAGAAGGGCATTTCCCTGGGGCAGGACATTGGGGTGCTGCACTGTTAAAGAGCTCATGGTCTTTGAAAGAACAAAGGTCTTCACTGTTTTGTGACTATCCCGTGAAGTACACAAGGCTCTTGACTCTCTGGTCCCTTTGCCTGTTCATTGCCCTGCTTTCCAGGTGCTGGTCCAGAGCCCTCTTGATCAGGGCCTGGCCTGGCTAGTATTGCAGATCCAGAGTGTTTCAGAAAAAGGCAGTTCCTGAGAAACAGCTCGTTGTCCCTTGGGCTGCAGGCTGGTGCCACAGCTCCTGCCCTGCAAGGCTGTGATGCCAAGTTGCAGATCTGCTTGGACTTCATCCTTGGGTGGGCATGACTGTCTCTCCTGCCAGAGGAGATGTGGGGCCCTGGAGCTACTGCAGGCCTGTCTGTGGGGGCAGATGAGAGGATTTGGCTGGTTACAGAATAGCTTGATGTCCACCCCACCAGGAATTTCTGCAGCCAGGCCAGCCCGGTGTGAGGTGCAGAAATCCCTGCTGAAGGTGACTGTTCCCTCCTTACAGCAGGAGAGGCCCTGCATGGCTGCAGGAGGGATTTGCTCACTTCTGGCAGACTCGCAGCCTTTCTCCTGTCACCGGGCTTCCTTCCTGCCAGGAACAGAAGCCCTGGATGGGCTGGTAGAGCTGCAAGTGAGCACAAATGTTTCTGCAAGTGCAGGGTCAATCCTATGGCCACAGAGGGGTTCTCCATTGACTTGGGGTGGCTCCTGGAGCAGGGTGCTGCTCTTGTCATCTCAAACCCTGTGCTCAGTGGTCTTGCAGTGGCAGACTGCTCAGATCCAGCCTGGTCTCACAAAGCTGGAGGTCAATACTGCCCAGAGCAATGGGCAGATGCTTTGCAGCCATCTGGGAGGATGGGGGAGTGGGGAGGGAGAGCCAAAGGGGACATGGACCCTCACCCCAATACCACCACACAGGAGCACAGCCAACATCTCACTCTGCTTGCTTTTAATAGTGTTAATGCTACAGATGCCGATGGTGCCCTTTGCCCTGCCCGGGTGCTTTTGCCAGCTAAGCCTCACAACAGCCCTGTGAGGTAGGTGGGTGACACAGGTGGATGCCAAGCAAGGAGCCCCAGGGTGGGGTGCGGCTCCGTTCCTCCCGACTGGAGGTTTGTTTTGTTTAGCCCAAATTCATTTCCATGTGCTGTTGCAAAATGCCTGCTTCAGGCTGACAGGAGCGAGTCAGAAAGTTGAGGGCAAGGCCCATCCTAAATCCCTGCTCTCAGGAAAAAACCCTCCCCTCTAATACATCTGGCTTTTGATTGAAGTTACCCAAGCTGTCGCTTGCTCCAGTTTCCATGTCTGAATTCCCATGCTCCAAACACCAGGGACCGCAGCTATGCTGCTGAGAGCATGCCTGGCTCGCTGGAGGAAGCCAAGGAGCTTTGGGTGCTGCAAGGGGCAGAGATCTTCCTGTTTCTTTCAGGGCATGAACAAAGGCTTTTCCTGGAGCACAGCGGTTTCAAAGTGAAGGCAGGAGACAGAACAAGCACCAGTGTCAGATAAAGTTTGTGTCTTTTCACCCAAGTGCGGACAGCCCATTCACCCAGAAATTGGCTGAACAAGGACAGAGTCAGCACTGAAGAAAAATTATGGCTCTCTTTGGGAAGTGAATGCTAAGCCCTCGTTCCCAGCAGGGTACAACGTCCAGCTTTCAGATCCCCCAACCCAAGACAGGTAGCATAGGCTCAGACCAAGCAAGGGGAAAAAAACCAAATGCTTTTAGACCATTAAGTTTGAAAACAGGCAAATGTTGGAAACTTAAGCACAGAAGGTTCTTGGGCAGCAGGTTAAGCCAACTCGTTCAGGACAAGGCCAAGCATGGACAGAGCAGGGCAGCGGGTGAGAAGGACCTGTTCAAGAGAGAGCTTTTGCACACCCTTCATGTGGCAAAGGATCTGCCAGGACGATGTGGTGCAAACGCCCTCACAGCTGGCCCCCAGCTCCTCGGTTTCCCAGGGATCTCACCCGAAGCTCTGGGCCATCCATCGTGGCACAGCTGGTTTTGCACTTGGCAGGAAGAGGAAGACGGTAACAACCCACGTGTGGCCAAAAGAGAGGTGGGGCACAAGGCACAGACAAGTGAAGGAATCGGTACTGTCTGAGGGAGCCAGGCAAAGCAGGGACCAGGGAGCCCACCAGCCACCTGGGAGTGCCAGGGGAAGGCCTCTGCCCCAGCCCCAGGTGCACAGAGCGAGCAATACCAGGGATCCAAATACTTCGCTCCAAACAGCAAAGAACAGGAGCAAGAGGGCACAGAAAACAAAGGGAACAGGGTCTGGAGAAGAACAAACAAATTGTTTTTATAGCAGTGTCCCACTTTAGAGGCTTAGGATCACCCGTCACGGCTCTGGAGAGGGACACTTCAAAATCTGTGAGGCAGCAGCAGAAAGAACACTATTAGTTTCAAAAGCAAATCCTCATTTCTTTGAGGTGTTATCAGCTTGAAAATGAAAGGAAGGAAAAGGTATCCAAAGCACTGGGGCATGTCTTCATTCTGAGCTGTCAGAAGCTCCAAGAGGCAGCTTGGCCTTAGAGGGGGATCCCGACAGATACACGCCACAAAGCAGAGTGCTCTTCCCAGATCTCTCCCCTATTCTGCCTGCAAAAAAGCAGCTGAAGGACAGGGCAGGAGCTCCAGCTAAATTCAGGCTTCCTGGGGGAGCAGGATCCAAGTGGAAGCCTCAGACACCAGAGAGCCCCGACCTGCAAATGCATTGACTTAAGCTTCATTTAGCTCTCCTGCCTGGGACTGGGATCTGTTCTGTCATGTGAAGGACTTCCCTGGCCAAGCCCCTCAGCTGAACAGCAGTCAGAGCTGCAGGAGAAGCGGTGTTGTCTCCAGGGGACAGGAGACAGCAGTTGAGAAGGCGCTCTGGGAAGGAAGAGGGTCACAGCGAGCTGAGCTCCAGGCTGCTGCCCTGGCACAGCCTCGTCACTTGGCACCACCACAGCTCTGCTGGGATGCTGGCTTCCAGGGAAGGTCCTGCCATAACTCTGGCACCACTCTGGGCTCAGTCCATTTGCTCTGTAGGTGTGCATGTTTCTTGTCAGCTCCCTTAGAGGGATGAGGGCTGCAGGTCCCCAGTCAAGGCTTCCTGTCCTCTGGGTCCTCCAAGACCAAGTCTGACATGATCTGTCAGCTTCTCCAACACGTGACAGCCAGTCACTTATGGCAGTACGCTTCGCTCTGCACATACCCTGGAGACACTGCATGCTCCAGGCTGTGCCACGTGCCAACTGCCTCCTCCCTCCCAAGGTGTACAGCATCTTGCTACTGCTCCACCAGAGCCTTCCTTGTTCTCCCCCAAAAGAGCCCTTCCCTTCCCCAGTGCCTCACCACTCCTGCTAGGAGCCACTCTCCTTCTCAAGATGGGCTTCTCGACGCCTGCTGGGCCTGAACACCCCTCGCCCTCTTGGCGCTCTGGGGTAGGAACCACGCTCCTGCACCCTGGACCTCTCCCATCTCCCACAGTCCCAGGGGCTGTGGTGGCCCTGCCAGTTGGGAGCTGCTCTGTGGTCACTGTGGTTGAATGCCAGGTTCTCCTTCTCCCTGCCGTGGGCCTCAGCCCCATCCTCTGGGGTCCATCGCTCCACGTCGTGGTGATCCTCTTTCAAGTCCACCGCCTCTGTTACTGGCGGGGGGTCTTCAGGGCACGACTCCTTCTTTTCAGCCAAGGCGGCAGCCCTGCTTCTGCTGTGAGGCTTCGGAAACTCCTGGCTGTGCCTCCCACCGGGTCTCCAGCTGAAGCCCCTGTGCCCCCTGGAGCCATGAAGCGGACGACAGGCTTCCTCTGCAG